AATATCTTCTATCTATATAGCTATTCGATATCTAGTTATCTTATTTAATATATCTATATTAATATTACATCTATATCGATTCTAATTTATTAAAGTTATATAGATAAAAAACTATCTAAATTAAATTATTAAATATTAAATTAAAAAAGATATAGTTTTAAAGAATAAAATCTAAAATATTATTATTTATAATTCTCGAGTAACTCGTTAATAACTCTCTTCTTATATTGACGATAAAGATTCTTCTTTTTTATTATATCGCTTTTTACTTAATATTCTTAATAGTAATTTTATATATGATATTCTTTAAGTTTATAAGAAAGAGAAGAGTAAGCGTATACTCTTTATAATATATATAAAAGAATAAGATAGAATTAAGCTTGAAAATCTTAAATTTATATATATAATTAATTATAAGTTTAAACTCGCTACGCTCTTTAATAAGATTAATTAAATTATCGCGGGTAAATAAATTAGCGTCCGCAATTATCAAAATCTCGCCCTTCCGCGCCTCCCATATTAAAAAAATAGATATACGTTATTCATAATAGTAATAACTTTTTTATTTTCTATTGAAATTCTGAAATTTCTATTTTAAATTTTGAAACGCTATTTGCGCTTTTCGAATTTTTAAAAAGTTTTAAAATTTATCTTCTAATTATTAAAGCGTAAGAAATTTAAATATCGCTTATTAAAGTTTGCTTATTAAAGATCGCTTATCTATTTACTCGATAGTTCTAATTTAAAAAATAATTATAAATTTAATTTATAAACCTTTACTCGTAATATATAAAATATTAGATTTAAATTATATATAAATAATAAAAAGTTCTATTAAGAAAGATAAGGTTATATATAAGAAGATAGCTAAAAAGAAATTAAAATTAAAAAGAGTAAGATTAAGAAGGAGAGTAAGCTTATATTAGCGAAGTTTAAAATACTATTAAAATCTAGTATATATATAATAAAAAAGAATTTAGACGAGAATTTATAAGATAATATTATTAAGATTAATAGTTTTAAATTAGAAGAAATTAAAAAAAAGATTTTAAAATTAAAAAAAAGATAGCGATAAGACTAAGAGTAATAAAAAAGAAGAAGATAATAAGATATAATCTATATATCTATAAAAGCTTCTTATATACTAATTATTTAAGATAAATTTATCTAAATCTTATAAGAGAGGTATTTTTATTATATTATCTAAAAATAAAAATATTATAAAAAGAGATAAAAGAGTAACGTCGAAATAAGTTTATTATTTAGATACGAGTAAAGGCCTATGAATTAAATTCATAATCATTTTTTTAATTAGGGCTATCGAGTAAATAGGTGAGCGATCTTTGGTGAGCGAACTTTGGTGAGCGGGCTGTCCGGCTGTCGAGCGAACTTTGGTAAGCGATATTTGAATTCCTTGCGCCTTAATAATTATAAGACTAAATTTAGAAATCATCTTTTTATCTGAAAGCCCACATTTCGTTCTATAATTTAAAAAAAAATCTCAAAATTTTAATAGAAAACAAAAAAGTTATTCTAAAATCAAATAATGTGTACCTGTTTTTTATCAGGGCTGTCCGGCTATCTTTTTTTAATAGTTATAAACGCTAATTTATTTACCCGCGATAACTTAGTCGATCTAATTAAAGAGCGTAGTAACTCTAAATTTATAATTAACTATATATATAAATTTAAGATTTTTAAGCTTAACTCTATTTTATTCTTTTATATATACTAATAAGTTAAAAATAAATAGTATTTATAATATTATAATTTATAATTATCGATAACGATATCTTTCTTTACTTATAATATTAATATATAAAGTTTAAACTCGCTATCTTTATAATATACTTTAAAATTACTCTTATTTTATAAGATAACGTAAATTCTTAATTAGCGTTTATTTAATCTTTTTCTATTAATCTTATTCTTATTATATATATTATTTAAATTAATAATAATATAATTTTATAATTATAGCTAATTATCTAATACTCTTATTAAAATAAGCTATTTATTATAGTTATCGTTAATAATACTTAATAGCGATATCTAATTTATCTTATCGTCGTTAAATCTTACTACTATATTTAAAAAATTTATTATTTAAATTTATATTAAATCGAGCTATAAGTTCTAATTATTATTAAGTATACTTTTTAAAACTATATAGTATATATTACTATCGTTATATCTCGTTAATTAGTCGAGATCTCTAATTATCTACTCGCTTATTTACTCGCTTATCTACTTACTTACTTACTTACTTACTTATTTACTTACTTACTTACTTATTTACTTATTTACTTATATTATTATAGCGATAAATATAATATTTTAAAGTATTATAAAAGAAATTTAAAAAACTATTTAGAAGTAAATTAGTAGAGATCTAATAAATTTCAGATATATATATATAATTTTTAACTATAAATTAGAATAAACTATATACTTATAATACGAACTCTTATAATTATAAGAAATTAAATATTAAATTATTATTTTTTTATTATTTTCGAAAGAGTTTTTTTTTTTTTTATTTTTTTTTTTTTTTATTATAAAATAAAATAAAATATTTTTTAATTATTTAAAAATAAAAAATTTTATTAATATTTTTTTTAATTATTTTATTAATTTTAATATAATAAAAAAAATAAAATAAATAAATTAAAAAAATATATATAAAAAAAAAATATTTATATATATTTTTTAGGTAGGATTTTTAATTTTTTTAGGTTTATGGGGGGAGAGTGTTTTTATTTTTTTTTTTTTATTGGAGTAGGTTTGAGGTTAGAGAGTTGGTGATGGGGAGGGGGGGGTTGGTTAGGTGGTTTTGGTATTTTGGTTTTGTTTTTTTTTTTTTAAAAAAAAAAAAAAAAAAAAAAAAAATTAAAAAAAAAGGGTTTGCCTCAAATGGAACAGCGGAGGCACGCCCTGCCAAACTTTCTCTCGCGCGGGCCCGGGGACTGTCGCGTGAGCAAGGGTTCTGCAAATCTGCTTTCGAACACAGACACTTTGACCTACACTGAAGAGAGTCCTTTACGCCCTTGACGATTGCTACTAAAGTAGTTGAATGAAAGGGCAGCTCCTTCATGCATACGACGTCTTGAAATTGGAGGACACCTTATCTATTCATAAGGCGGCTGCTTCATGGAGGAGGTGCTCCGCGTTGACTAAGCATATAGCGTTTTTAATGAGGTGTGATACAGGACTCATGCCCAACCCTCGGTGGACTGCGACGTCGGCCGTTCGAATATTTTACGCACCTCCAAGTTTGGAGATCTTACTCGGCCTCTCCATGGATAATGAAATCAGGCTCTGTACTGAATCTGTATCTTATTCCAAAAAGAGCCGTATGATCAGGACCTTCATTGGGTACCACTGTGCCCCTGTGGCCCTGTGAGAGTAAATACCTCCGGGTCATTCTTTTGGCAACGTCCGTTCCCTTCCGATGCATATAAGTGTGCCGTCTCATATGTTTTGTATCCTAAGGTACCCAAGCTGAAAGCACGCCGCGCTGCTGCGCCTAAGGGCGTTCGGTGGCCCGTCCATTATGAGTATGAAACACAACGCTAAAGGTCCTAGGTGGTCAAGCGAGTCCCAAAGTCCACCTATGCCTACATACCTATGCTCATTGAGGATCTGTTACTCACCTCGAAACAGGGCACAAGGCCCACATCTGATCCACCAGATTTCTTCCAATCCTCTATTCGCGAGACTTGGAGTTGGCATGGTACAGTAAAGCCCAATCAACTCATCGTATCGCCATTTTATTTATAGGTGGAGGCATATCCCAAGAACATGTCAGGTTTCTGATCAGTATACTAACGTAGAACAAGCATTGCACCAGCACGCCACCTCTATTCCTGCTTTCCCCTTTCTCGTTTCATTATCACAATAAGGTGTGCCCTAATTCAAGCCCGAGTGAGCCCACAAATTTTAGTAACGGTCACGTTTCTATCAAGCGAGTACGCAATGGGTACTTAGCGCTTGTGTTTGAAAAGAAGACGATGGAATCTGAAACAGGGCAAACATGAATCGAGAAAACGAGTTTGGGTCCCTAACAACGGTGGCAAGAGCCGACGAGGAAGAGGAGAAGCATGGTCAGGAGCAACAAGATTAATACCATGGCTCTCAATTGAGCAATCTAACTGGTCAGCGACAAATGTAGCGGAAACGCTGCTCTATTGAGGGCATGTCGTCACGGTTTTCTACAACTAAGGGACTAGTAAAACTTTGCATCGACAAGTTCTTCTTCCCACCCACATGAGGCGCATACGGGGATGCAACGGAATAGATCTCACATGCAGTAGCTCCAGAACAGCTTGGCGAGGCCTGCAGCGAATCGACCAGGCTTTCACCAGATTGGGCCTAATGCGGCATGACATCACGCATATTTATTGCTGTGCTTTTGCAACAGCAACACAACAGAGACGCACACCATAATCGATTGAGCATGCCGTTATTTTTCTTGACCTACGTTATCGTAACGCTTCGAGACTCTGTTCGCAATCCAGGCTACGCAGATCGTGATTCGAGACACTTCTTTCGCAGAGATACTGATATTGCCGCAAGAGATGCAGATTTTAGCGACGACGAGGTGCAATTGCTAAGGTTCCGAATGTCTGACACATATCATGTTTACATCAAGACCCATTCGGCTTACATTCTCGCCGCATCTCGGTATCTTCAGCAATCTCATGCAGCTCCCAGCTGACATTTTCACTATCAGATCTTAATCGAGTCTTTGAAAGATTGTCTAGGGCTGAGCTGCATGGTGGACCGCTGTCTGTGTGCTTTTCGGCCCTAGATTTCGGCCAACCACGTTTCGAACGCATTTGTGGGCATAGTGTGACGTGCCATTTTAGCGCTTGCAAGTGCGTTCACCACAGCACAGAGACAAAGCCACAGCTGAAGATCCCGCTCTTTCGTCGATCGACTCATTCTTAAGCCGGGCTTATCATCCCAAACTGCTATTGCTATCGTGATGCCAGCCCACTATGGTAGATCCAGTCTCCGTTATCAGTCTTCTAGCTATAGGATTACACTCAGCGAACAAACTTTCTACTCTGGTTGGGGATATTCGAGACGCTCCACGAGAGATCCAGAATATCTCGGACGATTCCGCATCTATCTGCGATATCCTATATACTCTCAATGGGTTTCTCGAGGAGAAAAAGGACTTCCAGCTTCCTACAGAGATTACACAGAGCTTGCAGGTCCCTCTTGCGAGTACCCGCTCGGCCGCGGACAATCTGGTCGAAAAACTCAAGCCTTTCGTGAAAGAGAAGGGTGAATCGAAGACGTCGAAATGGGTGGCTGGGATTAGATGGTCATTCTCTCACAAGGATGTGAAGCAGCTGGCTGAGCAATTGAACAATGGCAAGTCAACACTGAGTATGACTTTGGCCGTCGTCAATGTGTGAGGCCTCACTAGCTAATTCTACCTTTCTGTCCCTGCTTTGGGCATGGTTCCTCACGAAACTAACAGCGAATTCGTAACAGAATCAAAACTTCCCATGTCAAGAACGACACCACCGAGATCATTGAGTACTTGAAAAGACTCAATCATGAATCGGAAGTAGCGCAAGAAAGTACGGAGGGTCAAGGGACATCAGTTCAAGCCGGCGTTGAAGGCTTCGACACGCGCATGAAGGATGTCAACTTTGCCATGACAAGGTTTCTTGAAACTTCGTCTACCGCAATTGAGTCTCCAACTCATTCGCCGTGGGCTTCAACAACAGATGTTGCGCAAGTTTCGACTTTCGATGGAAATCTAGACGATAATGAGTACTCCGATCTTGATCGCTCACCAACGTCGGCAAAGCAAGATTATGAACCCGAGATTCGGCATATGCTCGCACAAGAGCAGGCTCACAGTTTCATGAACGAAGATGGTCAGACGGCCCTGCACCTTGCAGCCAAGCAGGATGCGTACTTGACGTGGGACGTTCTCAGCTGTGGCGTTGACATTAATATCCGCAATGTCAACGGTGAAACTCCGCTGATGTGCGCAGTCAATGCGGAGAACCTAGACACCGTAACACTCTTGCTCAAGAATCATGCTGATGTCAATGCGGTAGATGATCAGCAGGCAACGTGTCTTCATTTGGCAGCGTCGAAGGATGAATCTGGATCTATAACTCAATTACTCTTGAGACGTGAACCAGATACCGAAATGCTGGATGAAACCGGACGAACGCCATTGTTCCGCGCAGCCTTCACCGGTAATGATGCGATGGTCCGCCAACTACTTAAATTCGGGGCCGATCCGAAAGCCAAAGAATCGGACGGCTTCAGTGCTCTACACTACGCTTGCATGCAAGCCAACCACGTCTTCACGAGCCGTCTCCTCGACAAACGTGGTCCCGACTTTGAGGCATTTTACGAACTCGCCCGGTACGGCCTACCCGCCGATCCTTCCCATTCTACCATCTCAAAGAGGCGCGCCCAAATAGTCCACAGCCTCCTCGCGCACGACGCCAACGTTCACGCCAGCAGCGAAGGCTTGACACCCTTACACATTTCTGCCGCAACAGCTCAAGAACAACTCGTAAACATCCTGCTGTCCAACGGCGCAAAGGCTACCGGCGTCCCCGTTATTACCGCCTACTGGGGCCTCACTCCAGAGACAGTCGACCTACTCCTCACCCGCGGCGCCAACGTATCGGCTACCGACTGCCGCTGGAACAAAACCGCCCTGACCTGGACCGCAGAGATCGGCTCCCCCACCACGCTCAAGGTACTCCTCAGCCACGGCGCTAGCGTGCACCATCAGGACACCCAAGGCTCTTCGGCTTTACATTACGCCGGAGCGAATGCTCGCAACGAGTCCATCGCGCTCCTCCTGGACGCCGGCGCAAATCCCAACTTACTTGACTCAGGAGGTAGCACACCGCTCGTCAGGCTCGCCTCGGCCCGTCGTTTCTACCTTGCGGGCAGGTGGTGGAATCCCTCAGCCGCGGAGCGTAAGAAAGCAGCTACGCTACTGCTCGGTGCTGGTTGCAACGCTTCGATAAAAGACATGCATGGGAACCTGGCAGTTCATCACGCGGCCGGGAACGGGTACCGAGGTGTTCTAGAGGCGATTGAGAAGGCGGGAGGAGATATGGAGTTGCTGGACGGGTTTGGGATGACAGCGGTGGAGTGGGCAAAGGAGAGGGGGAGGATGGAGGTGGTGAGTGTTCTAAAGAGAAAAAGGGCGGTGAGAAGGGGAGGGGGCGGGGAAAAAGGAAAGGAAGAGGAGGGTGATGAGTCTGCTGCACATCAAGTCAGCAAAGCATGAAAAATCCAGATTTCTTTTCTGGTCCAAAGCCTTCTGCAGAAGCTCGGATCAGATCTCGTGATTGTCAGAATATGTCAGAAGTTGTAACCAACAGGTAGCCTCTCGGCTCTGAACTTGCACCTAGCCGAAGGGCAAGGGTTTAATTCTCCACAACGGACGGACTTCGTGATTCATCCACGTTCTTCTGTAATACCTGTTATAACTACTGGTAGCTCTTCGGGTACTCCAGAAGACCGATGAGACTAGGTACAGGCTAAGCGATAGAAGCAGTAGAACCGTCAAGAGTAGATGTTGTAGCTATCGACCGGAAAGGGACAATTCACGTTCATCACTAAGACAAACAATTCCTCAGACGCGAATCACGCTCAACAGTCTTACAAAGCTTGAAAGCTATTTCGGAGGTCAAACAGGGCTAAATAAACCTCTCCATTTGAGAAGCATGAGCTAATCTCGTTCGACCAACAACACACTCACCGAGCATTAAGACTCCGCGATGTTGCGGTCTTCTTCCCGAGAGTGATATCAAGGTTGTGGATAAGATCTTGGAGACATTGGTAGTGGAGAGAGACACCGACCAGACTGGCGTCGACGAGAAAAGTAATGACTTGTAGGATCAGATAGCAGCTCACCCCTATCGTGAGGCGATATGATTGCGCGGCAATCATCCCGAATCACTCAGGATCGCGTTAGAAGAGTAGATTTCGTGGTGTGCTCGGTGTGCATTATTCTAGCTAGCCACGACAGCGTGATCCTCACGCGAGCGTAAAGTGGCGCTCACGCTACATGTAGGCCGGATAATCGTGCCACGCACTTAGCTCGTTTTAGTGAGGAACGTGCTAAGTGCGTCAGCGTGACACAATTCTTAGGGGCTGAGGCCGGGGCTCATTTCAGGCAAATGGGAATGACTGCCGGAAATTTACGCCTTGCCAATCCATGGGATACTTGCCTTCATTTTCGCATCCCTATTTGTGACATCGTGGCAATCTTCTTACTGAAGCAAACGCTCATGGATCCAACAAGAGCCAATACCCCATCAGACGCTTGGAAGGTTATTTGAGACTAGACCCTGGCGCAGCCATGTTGGTTACAGCCTTCGCGTGTTTCAGCGCTCAAGAGTCGACAGCCATTCATTCTTGCTTTGACGCCTTGTATTTCACAAAGGAAAAGAAAAGATGACTTGAAAAGTTGACTGCCCTTGGTCTCCGCATTGATGATTGCTTGCGCGCGGTAACACAATGCCAGCTTTCGAGGAGCGAGATAATTATAAAAGACAGCGATAGCTCCGTCCAAAAGTACCAGGAGCGCATCTCCCAGATACCACTCTCAAATCACTCGACCACAGAATTGTCTATATATATTCGTCCATCAGATATAAATATAACCCGTTCCCACCGCACAGCATATCGTTCGCACCCTCTCCGTTCCGACACTGTCAATAATGTCATCATTCAGCCGTGACGCATTGTCTATCGTCGAGGATATCCTCCCGGACGAATTCGGTGGAGGAGATCATAGTACTCTCGTCGCAGACAGGCCGGAGGGCATCATAACAGCCGCCAATGGTCAGACGAAGCTCTATGCAGTCAGTCAATCCGGCAGCCAAAAGAAGGTCAATATGATGTCGCCCGCTCTCCGGCGTGAGTTGAAAAGATTGGCGCAGAGTGGAGAAGGGTCGACGATCGTTGTCGATGGGGTGAAGTACAGGTTTATTTCGCGTAAGTGATTTCTCTCCGCTCATCAATCAGGCCGAACACGGGTGAGAAGGCACGATTGATTGTCGGTTTCTTGGCACAATAACGAAGCGATGTGTGAATGAGTATGCTGTAAGGCTGACCAGTGCTCAGACAGCGGCGATAGTGGAACTACCACGCCAGTCTCGAACTTGAGCTGATTCTACTTTGTAACGACACAAAAGGGTTCGAGTTGCAAGGGAGGATGTTTTTAGAGCGGTGTATCATAAATTTTGACGTTTTGGAATCAGCTCGTAGTAGATAGAAATGCCAGAATACCATAGAAATCGGATGCTCTCTGGTTTGATTTCCTCCCATTGCTTTTCATATACTCGGTTAATGCCTTGATAACGCAAGAGCTCGTACAATACGTATGATCATCGTTCCTGAAGACCTGATATTGTCTTCATTTAAAATGGATTAGCAATGTGACATACGCAGCCCGCTGGACTGTGCAGGCTTCCTCACCAAAGTCTTTTAAACCCAAACGCGATCTCCGCCGCGCTCAGAGGCAGCACCGCCGTCAAACCCTTTTCTTTCAACAGCTTCGCATACGGCGCTTTCGGCACCTTCTTCTCCTCGTCTTCCCAGATTTCATATTCCATCTGACCCCACAAACCCAGCTGCATCATGAAATTTTCGCTCGGTCGCACTTTCCGTTTCAATTTCACATCCGCCAACACCTCGTCCAAACCGCGCCGGTCCCGGCGCATCAGATACGCAATCACAAACGTTGTGGAACGCGAGACACCCTGTACGCAATGCACCAGAACTCCGCCATGGGCAAGTGAGGTTTCAATGAACTCGCAGGCGCGGCGCATATGGACCAGGAGGTCTTGGTGGGAAGAATCGAGGCAGAACATCTTGAGGTGGCGGTCTTGGGTTATGATACTGGTGAAACTGTCGCGGCGCCACATGGCGGTAGCTTCGTCGTTCACTGAAAGAATGGATTTGATCTGGTGCTGCCGGAGACCGTTTGCGTTCCATGAAGACCCGACATCGCCGATGAAGAGGCCGGGTGTTATCTCAGATACTGGAGGGTTAGTTATATCTAATAATTCTTTATTTATAAATAAAGATTTCTAATATATAAACTTAATTTAAATTTAACGCTATTAATTTTAAGAGCTTAATATTAAAAAGTAATTAATTATTAAAAAATTTAAGCTAATTAAAATATAGAATATATAAAAATATCGTTATAAATATAGCGATAATTATTATTATAATTTAAACTATAAGAAAATAAGCGTTATTAAAATATCTAATATATAATATTTTAATAATTATAGCTTAATAATTATATTTCTTTAAAACTATAACGATTTTATCGATTTAACGTTTTATATTAATTTTTATATAAATAAAGAAAAGACTCGCTAATCTTCTATTCTTTTAATAAATATTAAGAAATAAATTTAAAGAAATATTAAAATCGCGATATTATACGATATTAAGAAATTAATTTAAATAAAATATTAAGAATAATATTTAAATTAAGTTTATAATTTAATTATTAAATCTTATAACGTAGATTATTAATTAATTAAAATAATTATAAGAGATATATAATTAATAACTAGTTTTAATAACTATTTTACTATACTTTAATTATAGCGAGATCGTTATATAATTAATATAAAATATATAAAAGCTTTATAAAATAAAGTAATAGAGAATTTTTTTAAAAGTAATAAAGAAGATTATTTAATCTATTATTTATATTATATTATTATAATAATATTAAAATATTAAATAAAGATTATAAAAAATAAGAGAGCTCTCTACTTTAAATAAAACTCGCTTTAATAATAAAATAAATAATTAAAGAAATAATAATTAATAATATATAAAGTCTAAGAGATAGTATATAAAGAATTAATAAGATTAAAAGAAGACTTTATTTTTTTAGACGTTATAAGATTAAAAGTTTAAGTAAATTAAATTTAAAGATAATAACTTTTATATTAAGCTTAAAACGCTCTTTATTAAAATATAATATTATAATTATAAATAACTAAGATATTATAAGAATTCTTTTAAATATTTAAATTATATTATAAATAATAAAGTATATAATTATAAATTAAATAAGAGAAAAGATAAAGTCTAATACTTATCGCTATAGTATTAAATATACTATTAATTAAGCGATAATCTCGCTCTCTATTATTAAGAGATAAGATTATTATATCGAGTAAAAAGTATAAAATAATTACTTTAATAAATATCGATAATAAGAAAATCTTTATATCGTAATCTTTTATTAAAGATATATAGATTTTTAAATCTAAATACGCGTTAATAATAATATATATTATTAATAATTATTAAATATTCTTATATAAAAAGTATAATTTAATCTTTAATTTTATAAATAGTTAAGAAAAAAAGTAAGAGTAAATCTTAAAGATATATATTATAAATATATAAGAATATAATCTTATTCTTAATTTTTCTTAAATCTATAATATTAATTTAAATATTTATTAACGCGAGTAGTTTTAGATTTATCGCGATTTTTTTATAAGCGATAAAATATAAATAGATATTGTAATAATAGATATAAAGTAATTTAATTATTAATAATATAGTAATTATATATAATTTAAAATAAATATTTATTATATTTTTATATTAGATTTTATTTAAAAGTAATAAAAATAATTATAATAAAGTTATATAATATAATATTATATAGCTAAATAATTCTAATATATTTAAATAATTTAAAAATCTATTAAAAGTCTTTTTAGAAGAGTTATTTAATAATCTTAATATATATAATTAAATTAAATATTTAATTAACTTATTATCTAAAAAGCTATTTAGAAATAGTTCGAATTATAATATATTATATAATAAATTTATAATAATTAGAGATTATCTAGATATTATATTTAAGAGAAAATAAATTTAATTTTTAATTAATTAGATTAACTCGTTAATATTATTTATTAAGAAATTAAATAGCTCGCTATAATTATATATTAATTATTAAAAACTTAATAAGATAATTATTAAGAATAATTATCTATTATTATTACTTTTAGAAATTTTAAAAAGATTTATATATATAAAGTACTTTATTAAAATTAATATTTATAATATATATTATTAAATATAAATATAAAAGAGAGATAAGTAGAAAATTATCTTTTGAACTCGCTTTAATTAATTTAAATATTAAATAATATCTTTTAATCTTATAAATATCTTTATAATCTTTTAAACTTATATAAATAAAATATTTAAATTATATATTAATATTTTCTATATAATATATTTAAATAATATATTAATCTATTTTAAAATAAAAGAGTTATATTAAAAGTATATATATAAGATACTATATATATTATTAAAGTATTGACTCTATATAAAGCTATCGAAATATACTTTTAATTATAATAAAATAATTTTTTTAAGATTTTTAATAAATTAGCGTAATATTTAAATAAAGTTATTACGTATTAAGATTATTACTAAATAATTAAAATTAGAGTTTATTAAGAATATCTTAATTTTTCTAGAATTTATAAACTTTTATTAATAATTTATATAAGACTTTTTATAAATAATTACGTCTTTAATAAATCTAATTTAAAAAATAAAGAAAGATAAGATTAGATTATTCTTTATATTTAATAAGAAAGTATATAAGACTTTTAAAATACTTAAGCGAGTATTTATTATTATATTTATATTAAAATATTATAATTAAAAAATATCACTTATTATAAAAATTAATACTTTTAACGTAGATATAAATAATATATTTAATTAATTAAGTAAAAATAAATAATAATATTCTATTATTTTTTTTAGCTATAAATTTAAAGATATTAAGTCTTATTAAAATATATATAATAAAAAGCTTTATATAATTATATTAGACTTTAAAAATTAAAGATATTACTTATAAAATAATAAATATTTTATTTATATAATCTTAGATTATAATAATTTATATTATTTTATAATAATAAAAGAGTTTAATATAAAGTAGATTCGCTAAGTTAAGAAATTAGCTATATTTAACTTTATAATTAAATATTATAAAGAGAAACTTAATTCTATAAATATATTATTAAAAAGATTTAATATTATTAAATCGAATAATAGCGAGAATAATAATAATAATTTTTTCTCTACTTTATAAAATAAGCTTTATAATTAGAAATATTAATTTAATCTATAAAAATATAATAATATATTTATTATAATTAAACTTATAACGTTAATAAAGTAATTAAATAATATTATTATTATAGATATTTAAATTATTAATTTAAATAAGAGAGTATTTAATAAATAAATATATATTTTAAATATTATAATATTATCTTAACTTCTAATTTATTAAATTTTAAAATTAAAGAGATTTTATTTAAAATTATAAAAATTAATAATAATATAACTATTTAAATTATAATATAAAAATACTTTTATTATAAATAAGAAGTAATATTAAAAATACGCTATTAAATAGAATAAGCTTTTAAAATAGAAAGTTAATAAGAATAAATTATTACGTTATAGTTTTATAATTTATATTTTTAACGATTCTATTATAAAGAAAGAGATTCTTTATATAAATTATAATAATCTTAATATTAAATACTTTATTTATAAATATATTAAGAAAAATATTAAATTTAAATATTATTAAATAAATATAATAAGCGATATAATAGAGTATATTTATATTTATCTTAATTATTAAAGAATATAAATTTATTATTATAAGTTATATAGCGAGCTAATATCGATTCTTTTAAATAATATAAATTTATTTTATATTATAATACTAAATTTTATTATAAATCTATTATTTATAAAAGATTTATATATTAATAAAATTTATAATATTATTTTAATCTTAATAAATAAATTAATTAAGTATATAATATATATAATAATTATAAAAAATCTAAAGATTAATAATCTTATTAATATCTTATAATAAAAATTTATATTATTATATAATATAATATATAATTTAATTTTAAATTAAGACTCTCTATTTATAAGTAAATTCTAAATAATATTATATTAATATCTAGATATAAAGTATAAGCTAAGTATTATATTTTATTTTTAAATTAATAATTAAATTAAGAGATAAAATTAAATATTAGAATATTATTTATAATTATATTATAATTATAAATAATATAACTAATTTAAAATCTTATTAATAATTATATTTATATATAATAATAATATATATATAAATATTAATAAAATCTTATAAAATCTACTAATAAGATATATAATAGATTTAAAAAATATTTCTAAAAGTAGAATCTTAAAAGAGAAAGTATTACTTATTATAGAGTAAGTAGAATAATTATAAAAAATAAGATTATATCTAAAAGAATTATAAAAGCGAGTATTAAAGTAATAAGTAAAGTATTATAATAATAATTATAAGATTATAATCTTTAAGAAAAAAGATAAAGTATTATTATAAAGTTTAAATATATATATTTTATAATTAAAAAAGAAACTTAATTAAAGTTAATTTAAATCTTTTAAAGTATTAAAGAAAATAAACGCGTAGATTTATAAGCTAGATCTTTCTATTAGATATAAAAAAATTTATTTTATATTTTATATATCGCTATTAAAGCTATAATACTCGCGTAATAATAATTTAAAGTTATAAATAATTTTAATTAATAAAGAAGAAGAGTAAGAGATTAATAAGATATTAAATAAAAGAGTTTATAAGAGTAAGACTAAGTATCTTATTAATTAAAAAAACTTTCTATTTTATAAAGCTTTATAAAAATTAATAAAGTATCTTAAAAATATTAAAAATATAATTAAGAATTTTAAATAAGTAAAGAAATTATAT